ACTTATCTCCAATTAGGTGGCCCCTTAAGAATAATGTACCATCCACATCAAGACGGCCTCTTTTTGTTTTGTTTTTTTGGCCAAACGACCTAGTCTAATGAAGAGAATATTATTTTTGTTATAATGATTATGTTCCAAAATTTGAAAGAATTTAAGATAGAGAACACATCTTCATCACTAGGCTAACAATTGGGTTTTGATAGGGATATATATTCATCCCTCCTGGTCCTATATAGATATATATATATATATATATAGATATATATTCCACATCCATTGAATTCAAACTTAAATTTTCTTATAGCAATATAGTGTGACGAAATAGATCACACCCAAAATTAATACATGTACATATAAAAATATGTGCGCGTGTGTGTATATGAGTTTATGTTGTGTTTGTGTGTGTGTGTGTTGCATAACGCATCAAGAAAAACATAGCTCTGTGACAAAAATTTGAATCAAGATAATTTGAACTAACTTTCTCTTTAAAAATGGAGTTAAATCTATTATTAATTGGAATAACTAAGTAATTAGTTTGAAAACAAAATAAATGCCCCCTTATTATCCAATTGGCGTGATATAAACAAGCGAACTAATTAATTACCGAACAAACAAACCCAAACTTAGTCGAGGTTCATTTAAAAAGCCTAAAAATTGTTAATAAGGTTTATTTTCATCAGTTAGTGGTTCTCATCATTCAAATAATTGACATGAATTTTTTTTTTGGGGTGAGAATTATCCGATGGAATCATTCTAATTAAATTGAACAACTTCAACGTACACGACAAGTCAATTGATACTGTTGTTATATATGCATGCCACCTAATCATAAGAGGTCAAATGTATTGAACTCAATTTTAGAAGGCTTTCTATAAATGTCATCAATTCGTTCTCCTTTAAGAAATTGACATATCTAATTGTCCAAAGTTACTCCCACACACCACAACTTTACCACTATATATAGCCATCCAATTTCATCTTAAAACAGATATTATTTCAAGTGGATCGGAGTCTAGTCCTTTATGCTTTTTCTAAAATGTACTTTGGAAATTACAAATTAAAAGCCACTTCTACATTTCCAACCCTTTCCCAATATTTATACCAACTTTATATTATATATGCTTTTCAATTACAAATAAATTTTCCCTTCAAAAATTAAACGTAATTTAAAATATTCGATGTGAAATCAACAGGTCGCAATTTTAGTTGGCCCAAAAGTTTCTACTTACGACTACTCCATTGAGGTATGATTGTCATCATCAACTCATCATTACCCAGAAGAAATTAAAAGATCACCATGAATACATACCTACATGAAGAAAAGAAAGAAAAAAAAATAGTTCAAAGGCAATAGAATCAAAATATATGCTCACTCCCGCAAAGAAAGGTATACAAAGTCCATCTATATGTAATAATGTCATAGGACTACGTATAAAAATTAATCTTATTTTGTCTCATTAATTAATAATGAGATCAATGTCTCTTTAATCCTTGAAACAAGTCATTATATTTTTATATTTCGTTGACTACACACGACACTCCTATATATATTGTAATCAATCATTAATATTAATACAAGATATTAAAAAAAAAATTGCACTGCTCTCTCATGCTCCTATAATCAATAATACGATGTTCAGTTATACATGGTAATATACACATAATTTGAATTGGGATTAGGAACTGGAAAAAGAAAAGTTACTTAACTCTCACTCCTCTGTGAATTTTTTCCAATATTCTTACGTGGATGATGTGGTTAATTAGGGGATGATGCTTAAAGACCTGTACTTAACTTGACCCTATATATATGCCGTCCACTCAAAATCAAACCTTTATCTCTTCAATATATATATATATATATATATATATCTGGGTGTGTGTGTGCGAGAGAGAGAGAGAGAGAGAGAGAGAGAGAGAGTTTGACGGTTAACCTGTCATAAGATTATTTTGAAAGAATGACAGCTACCCTTGTTGAATCAGAAATGGAATAAAAAGTAGTATATGAGAATTGTCTTCCTAGAAGTAATAAAAAAGTTGATAAAAATACTATTAACTATCTCCATCAAAGACCTCATAAATCCCGAAAAGCACACATTCCGCTTTATATTATTGTTCCCTTATATATCTCAATTCGCAAAGAATCTAGTTGACATTATTTTTTTCCCCCCAACCTAATCCACGGTCTAGATTAACTTGTCTCTTGAAGGAATGTGACCCGTGAGCGAGGACGAACCGAAATTTGCTATGCCTGTATCTGTGTATTTTAAAACATACTATAAAAATATTTTGTAATTGATCGAGTTATTTAAATTAGGTTTAGATAGTCCTTTTCTACAAAGAATAAGGCATGTTGAAATTAAATAAAATATAGCAAAATTTACATGATTTATAATTAATCAACGATATTTCGATCATATCTACATGTACATGTTCCAACCTTATCAACTACTGCACTGGATTCTTAAAATTCTGTAAGATTTGTTTATCCATAGTGGTTGGATTAGGTCTTCTCTTGGGTCTTATGATTGTGATTTCCCACTTTATTAAAATCCACAATGACCAAAATAGCCCTCCTTTTGCCCCACTTTGATGTGACTTTCAGCCATTGTCCACTGATGTTTATATAAATAAATCATAAATGGACGAGCCTCTCCGAACCAGCCATTTGCATTGCATATTATTGCAATCACATGCATCAAACATAAGGATTTTAATTTCTAGTAGACCGATATATACTCTCTGAAACAAAGAAAGGTATACATATTTATCATGTAGATAAAAATTAAATATATGACTATATTTTGAATAATATATATATGTATATACCTATAGAAGTTATAACAAATTATACCGCTTACAAATAATGAATAGCATGCATGTCTTCTTATGGGACTTTATGTGATGAGAATTCCTATCTAATTATTTATTTTACCGTAATGTTTATATCATGCCATATCTCATGCATTCCAAAGGTGAATGAGCAAAACGAATTCTTTCAAAATTATAAAATATAGTACAGTCAATAAAATTTAGATAAATAATCCGTTTTTAAATAAACCATCTGTTATTTAAACTCCTCGTTTAATTTCGGCTAATATCAAATCTCAAATAGAAGAGAAACTCTCCCAAAACACATTTTATACGCACTTTTAAAACATGATATGCTTAAACAGTCATATATATGATTTTCTCCTTCTATTTTTTAACGAATATATATCATCTTCTTCTAAGAACAATATTTGTCTGTAAAGATAAATAAATCTTTAATGCTAAATACCATCCGTTGTCATGTACTTTTATATATTTTTAATTTTAATTGTACATCCCAATGAGGTTGGATTTAGAGGAAGAGTTAATTCCTCACAACGTAGCGAATCAAAATTCAAATCTCTAATAGGAAATGTACCCACGTTTATTGCACGACAATACCTCAAATAGGATTGCTTCCAATAAGATGGTACATACTCATGTTTAAAAAAATTTAAGTGTACATTGTGCATTTATTGGAAGTCCATATCAATAAATGGAGGCATCCCAATCCAAAACTTATTAACCTCTTCTTGTGAGTAAGACTTTAATATTGTGAGTGACCCTATCCACTATGGTATCGGTAGTATTGAGTTCATCGGTTTTCTGTTTTCATACAGATTCATAGGTGAGACCTTGTATTTAAAACATGATAACCTTTTTTTTTTTTTTATTAGGACTAACACTTATTGGTAAAGATTGATAAATCTTTAATGTTAAATACTTCTCTGGTCTTATTTATTAGTAACTTCTAACATGTTTCACATAGACCAAGTAAAATCTTAAACTTTATTAATTCTCATTTAAAATTCAACAATTTTTTAATTTTATCCCTATTTAATATATATTATACCTCATCTAAATAAAGTCAACACAATAGTAAATGAAAGGTAAAATTATACATCTTTGCAAAAAATTTCTTCTGAGTGCCCTATAAATAAGATAAAAAAATATTTTTTCTTTTTGTCCTATAAATAGGACCAAAGGAGTAATGTCTTTCGGCATGTGCTTCAATATATTTTTAATTATATGTTATGCATTTATTAAAAATTCAAATCACTAAATTCAAGCATTCCAATCTATAAATAGCGAGTCGGATTTCAGGGTTCGGCGCTCATTTCAAGGTTGACTACCGTGTACATATTAACTTCAAAGAAAATGAGACATGAACCATTTAAATCAAGTTAATGTCCCTCTTTGCGTGTAGATGAAAAGAATCCATCTCCTCTAAAATTAATAGAGCCAACTTTAAAACTATACAAAGAGGAGGAGGTGTTCTTTCATATAAAAGCTTAAAGAAAATCTTCACCAAAAAAAAAAAAGCTTAAAGAAAATGAAGAATATATAAGCTGAGAAAATGAATCAGACATTGCGAAATGCAGGCAAGCACACCAAATTGAGCATGAGACCACTTTTTTGCTGTTTCCATGTCAGTCACTAGAAATGGTAACAGTACGCATAGTCTGCCACAGCAAGAAATTCAGACCAATTTTTCCTCAGACTTCACCAATCATACTTTCAGGTGTTTTCTTCTTTTCTTTCTCAAACCTAAATATTATAATATGATCTGTTTGTTTCCATGCTATTTTTGTTTGTGTGTGTTGGGATTTACAGTGTTAGTTTCACCTCCTTCAGTTTCATTTGATTATTTTGATGATTTTTGAATCTGCCTGTGAGGACCAGTGGGGCCCGGTGATGAGAGAAAGTTTGTCTGTCAGTGAGCAAGAAGATGCCATACAAGAGAGAGAGAGTGGTGTAGTAGCTGTTTTCATGCTGCTTTCACACATATATACAGTGTCGTTTTGTGGCCGCGCTTGGGTCCACCGACTCGCGGGGTTTTTCTCTCTCTCATCTCACCATTTTATTATTATTATTGTTGTTGTTGTTGTTATTATTTCTGTGTTCCTCTCTCCCTCTCTGCAATTAATTTTTCATACTGTGAATATCATTTATGGCAGGGAACAAATGAGCAAAATCTGGAGGAAAATACATTGAAAAGGGAAAAGGAGGGCAGAGAATTACAGAGAGAAAGAGGAAAATAAGGAAGCCCAAAAAAAAAAAAATTCCTCGGTGCTTATGTGTTGGTGTATCTGCATGACACCAAATCAGTGATATAATTTCAGTAATATATCACTTTGCTTCAAATTGGCGTTTAAAATAAGCCAAACCAGCTGAGAAGGAAGAAAGGAAGAAGAAGAAGCAGATAGAAGAGAAAATTCATGTCGTCAAGTACTGTGCCCATGGAGGGTTTGATTTCCTTTTCCTTCATCTCCTTCAACTTCCATCCCTGTCTTTTAGCTTTCTATTCTGTATCTCTTCCCTTTTATGTTTCTTCTTTTCATCATTAGAGCCCCAAGTATTTGAATTACCTGCTTTTGGGAATCTGGTTCAGAATTGCATGTGCCTTTTCCGGAATTCAGATAGCTTTACAAGGCCAAAGCAGAATAAGAGGATATCCCCAGCTGAACCAGACCACTTATATCCTTGAAGAAGAAGGAGAAGAAGAAGAGAAAGAGGAAGGATATATATAAATGCTATCTGCTGATATGGCGGCATCTTCTTCGTCGGCGTCGCTGCTCGGAATAAGAGGAGATCAGAATCCGATGAATCAGCAGCAGCATTCATCAACCCCAACTTCGTCAACAACCGCAGCTGCACCACCCCAGAAGAAGAGGAGAAACCAGCCAGGAACACCAAGCAAGTATCTCAATAATTTTGTCGAATTTAATCAATAAATTTCCAAATCAACAATACTCCCATCGATGAACTGATTTTTATTCCCCTCCTCCCCACTAATCTCAGATAATCATTTGTCCTCGTTTTTGGAGCCTGTTCTAACCATTAAAAATCCCTAGAAAACCCTAAGTCTGTAACCGAAACTCAGAAATGAAGAACTGCAGTGGGTGTTCATGATTCCTTGAAAGCCCAAGTCTTTGAGACCCCAGACCCTTAATGAATTAATTAGTTAATTGTGTGTTATAATTAATAATTTCTGGTTTGGCTTTTTTGTGTGAGAACGAACAGATCCAGATGCGGAGGTGATAGCTCTATCTCCAAAGACATTAATGGCGACAAACAGGTTCATTTGTGAGGTATGCAACAAAGGGTTCCAAAGAGAGCAGAACCTACAACTCCACAGAAGAGGACACAACCTGCCTTGGAAACTAAAGCAGAAGACAAACAAAGAGCCAAAGAGAAAGGTTTATTTGTGTCCGGAGCCCACATGCGTGCACCATGACCCCTCCAGAGCTCTGGGTGACCTCACTGGCATTAAGAAACACTATTCTCGCAAACATGGCGAGAAGAAATGGAAGTGCGAGAAGTGTTCGAAGAAATACGCGGTTCAGTCTGATTGGAAAGCACATTCCAAGACCTGTGGCACCAGAGAATACAGGTGCGACTGTGGAACTCTCTTCTCCAGGTAATTTATATATATTCATTCTCTTAATTAACCCTAGAGTTACACAGTTCAATCCTTCAGATTACTAGGTGTAGGTATAAGTGAGGGCATAGGGAAGAAAGAGGGCTAGATGCTTTCTTTCCTTTTCTTCTGGTTTTCTTTTTCCATTTGATGATAAAGATTCTCCGTCCTCTCTTTCTCTCGTATGGTCTCGTTTGTCTTGGTACGATGGCCTGGAGGAAACGGAAGGAAACATCCTTCCCACGTGAAATTATGTTTGGAAACTGCCTCGGTCATAGGGTATCAGAAAAACACACGAAGCAACATCATCATCGTCATCTTTCTCTCAATTCCTCTCTCCGGATTTTACCTAGGGAACAGTGCTGGGTTTAGCCCATTGCCTTTTATTTGTTTGTTTCTATTTTCTTCGGATTCACGTGTTGCTATGTGCAATGTGGAGAGAGGGAGATATGGCAGTGTAGTGCTGTGGTGTTACCATGTTTGTTCTCTTATGCCTTGGCTAGATGTGCTCAGTACTGTGCTCTTGCAGGTATCCATCCATCCAGGTTCTCCTTTTCATGATAAACCTTGCCCTACAAAATTCAATCATCCCTTTCTCTCCCTCCTCCTCCTCCTCTCGTACCAAAATTCAAACTTTCATCTCCAGTTTCTTCGAGAGGTGATGTCAACTGCTTCTTGGATGCTACCTCCATTGTCCCTTAATTTTAGGGTTCTTCTTTTTTTTTTTTTTGGCGATTTTTTTACCATTAAATTCTACATAAAATGGGTGACTTGATATCTTATTTGCAAAAAATAGTTTAGTTTTCAATTTTTGTATGATTTTTCAAAGATTTAGCAATCGGCACTCTAAATTAAAAAGAAATTGAACCTTTTAAAGTGCTAAATCTTTGAAAAATCATAAAAAAAAATTGAAAACTAAACTATTTTTTGTAAATAAGATATGAAAATATCACTCATTTCATACAGAAGTTAATAGTAAAAAGAATCGCAAAAAAAATATTTAGGAAGAGTCTCAAAATTAAGGGGCAGCACGCAAGTGGCAGCTGGCACCCCATCTCTAGTTTCTTCGTCATGCAGTTCTACTTCTCCAATATTAATGCCCACGTTGATTTTGGTCGGGCATATTAAGATTTTTATAGTACTGACGAGGCAAGTCCCAACTTCTTATAGTTCTTGAATACTTTTGTGCTGGTGAAAGGTATTGTTTATTTTGCTTGATATATATGCGTGTGCCTTGTATTTAGAAAGAACCGGTTTAATTATATCCATATTGATTGCTAAAAATAAGAAGCCTTTTTCTCGAAATAATTCAATTTATTCCGTCAAATAATTATAAGACTATATAATGCACTCTCTAATATGTATAGGAGATCTTAAGCTTCTGAAAAAAAAAAACTTATTTAATTAAATGATTATTAGTCCTAATAATCAAGCATTAATGTTTTGAAAAATTAAATGTTGCAGGCGAGACAGTTTTATCACCCACAGGGCGTTTTGCGATGCACTGGCTCAGGAAAGTGCGAGACAACCTTCCAGCTTGATTAGCAGCGCCATTAGTGGGAGCCAGCTCTATGGAAGTAACAATATGGCGGCTTTAGGCTTATCTCAGGTGGCCTCCCACATCTCCGCCGTCCATGACCACCACCCCAACAACCAAACCGGCAGCGACATTTTGCGACTGGGTGGCGCAGCTGCCACTGCCGCTCGGGCTGGCCATTTTGACCACCTTCTTCCACCATCCTTAATTAGACCACCACCGCCACCGCAGATGGCGGCCAATGTTGCTTCTCCTCCGGCCTTCTTCATGGCGGATCAATCAAACCAGAACTATCACAACCACCATGATCACCATCATCATGGATTCATGCAATTCTCTGATCTTCATCACAACAATAGCAACAATTCTCCAACATCTGCACCTAATAACAACAACCTCTTCACCCTTCCTCCATTCCTCTCCAACACCACCAACAATAACAGTTCTTTATCCGAACACTTGGGCAATAACGGAAGCGCCGGCGGAGGAGGAAACGTAGACGGCCCCACCACCTTCTTCTCCGACCAAATCACAAGCTCCAGTGCTCCTTCTCTTTTCAGCACATCTCTTCAGAACAACAGTAACAGCAGCAGTATACCCCACATGTCTGCAACAGCACTGCTTCAAAAGGCTGCTCAAATCGGTGCGAGTACTAGCAACAACAGCACCACAGCCTCGCTTCTCAGAAGCTTCGGAAGCTCCTCCTCCACCACCACTGGATCCAAGTCTGACCACCACCACCACCACAACAGGCCGCCGCAGCAGCTGGTCGGAGCAAACTATGGCGCTATTTTTGGAGGGTCGTCGTCGTCGACGAACAACGAGGATCATCAGACCAGTAATCTTCAGGACTTGATGAACGCATTCAGTAGTGTTGGTGGGTATGAAGGATATGATCATCATCATCATCACCAGCATCAACAAAACAACTCAAACACAAGAGACCTGAAACTTCCCGTAGGATCTGACAGGCTTACTCGAGATTTTCTTGGGGTTGGGCAGATTGTGAGGAGCATGAGCGGAGGAATTTCACCCAGAGATCATCATCAACAAGGGTTCATGAACTTGGGTTCTTTGGAGAGTCACCGAAACAACAACAACAACAACAATAATGCTGCGCCGTCAGGCCATTCTTTTGGAGGAGGAGGGAATTTTCAGTGATTAGTTAAAGTCGAAGCTGAAAAAACCGAAGTAGCAAGGTACGTAAAAAATTGCCTGCCCCTTTCTGTGATTGATTACGATACGTGATCGTTAAAGTTTGATTCCATCCGTAAGTGTGTCCAAAAAGTAGGTTACTTTCCATGTTCTCGAACTCCCCCGAGGAAAAATCCACCTTTTCATCTTAGGTATACTTATTATTCGATGCCCATTTTTAATTTAGCTTTAATTTTTTATTTTTTTAATATTATATGTATAAATTAATTAATTATACTAATGAAATTCAATAAATACCCACAACTTAAATTTTGAAAAAGTTTTCGCGAACCGCAAATTAAAGATTTGAGTGTGAGGAAATATATTAAAAGGATGAAAGAAATTAATCTTTGGACAACATAAAATAATGATTTGCTTATGTGTGTGATTAGAAAGATGGGGTAAAGCATGAGTTCATTGGGAAATGTGTGGCTAAAAGGAAGGAAGCTTTACGTAGTTAATAGATTAATTAATTATTTATTTTTGACTGCGGGGTGGGGTTAATTAAATAAATGGGATGTGAAAAATGAAAATAAATGGTGAGGGAATGGTGGGCTCTGACAAAGTTGTCATGCACAGAATAGACAGTGGAGAGCAGAGTACTTTGTTTGTTGTATTGTCTTCTTCTTTTCAGCTTTCTTCCATTTTTGTTTATATTTTGATTTTTTTGATTTCTCAAAGTCACGAGTGCCCTCCACACCCAACAACCCCTCTGCTCTCCTAGTCACCCCTTCTTATCTCTCTTCTGTTTTTTAAACAATATATTGGCCTGCACTTTCTTTTAATTTTTCATACATTTGAATATAATTAATGAATAATCACATTATAACATTTTATATTCCTTTTTACAATATAATTGCTATATATTGCTTCACATTTTTTCAATTGTTTAATCCCGTGTAATTTTGCACAGGATGTATGTATTAATTCTATATATAGTTAGTTTTGATGCAAAATCAGATCAAGTTAAATCACATTGACTAATGACGAATGAATTGGCAAATTGAATCCTGGTTTTGTCCAAATATTTATAAAAATAGAAATTAAAAAATATCAATAGGTAATCGACATAGTTAACTAGGAATTGATTATATGCAGATCAATGAGAATTGATCAAGAAATAATAAAAATGAATATCTTAAGCTTTTTATAATACATTCATATATTAAATTGAAAACACATTAAATGAATGATAACAAGAACATGACTTCAAATGTTGAAGGCTAAAAATTCCTCAACTTTAATTTTGTAAGTAAAACAATTGATATAGTACTTATAAAATGTCTAAGAAGTTTTAACTTCCTCTTAATTGGCTTATTGAAGCTTGAACTTTTTTTTTAGTCATGATATATATGCATTAATCAACCTTTCAATTATTTGCCACAGTATATAACTACATATACAGGTCAGCTGGGATTAGCTTCTATCATCATTGAACACAGAAAGGCTAACTCTTTTTTTTTTTAAGGAAAATAAATTAAAGTTGTGTGTGTGTGTTTTTTTTCCTAACAATAACAGTGACATTTACTAACTTTTGTACTTATGTTTTTTTGTAGGGATGGATATCGTCAAGAAGTTCGGTTACAGTGAAGGGTTGACTGGCTGGCTAATTCAATAGGAGCAGATATTATATACACATTCTCCTCTGGGAGACTGCCATCATCGGACCGTTTATGATTAATTAGGCCTCTTTCCAACTCAATTACATCATCTTCAACTTCATTTAGACTTTCTCTTTTTCTCTTCCCATCAACTATATTCCAAAAAAAAAAAGTAGCTAGAATCAAACATATCATGGTTTCATGAACTTAGTTTCTAGCTTTAGTTTATAGTTTTATATATATGTTTCAGACTTCATGAGCTTAATTGATACCTTCCTTTGTTCATATACTTTTATATATGCTATTTATCATCTCTCTTCAATTCACTCTCGATCCCCCCTTCACTACTTCTTGTTTGCAAATCTGAACATACACTCTTATCAAATTTCGATAATGCAAATTTGAAGTTGTACAAAAAGATTATTGAAGTATCCAATTACAAAAATTAATTAATAAATAAATAAATAAGATGAAGGGTTGAAATTTAATCCAAACAGTCAATAACCATATAATAAAATAATAGAAAGAATTAATGCATGTTTATCGCCAAAAAAAAAAATCATGGATGTTGTTGAAAAAATATCAAATTTGAATCGTGCAAATTAATATAATCACACAGTCCCAGGAAAGAAGATAAAGCCAAGTTAATATAAAGTGAAAGTGAACGATCATCGGAGAGAAATCATTCTCTTGTTGAGCACCTTCATGAACTACTAGCTACCATCATTAATATAAAAGCTACATAACTGATTTAACAATATTAAGAAAATTAGTTAACTTAGTTATTTGTTAAAAATATGTATTGATTTTTCTAAACTTTTCTCTTTCAATCATGTGCATAAGATGATTAGAATTATCTATTGGTGAGAATCCCTTGTACTCAATAAAGACATTTTGAAAAAAAAATAGACAAAGTAAATTAAGATATTATATTTAGAATTAAATTTAAAACTTCAAGTAACTCTTATACTATTTCTGATCTTTAATATAAGAGTTTGTTTAACTTTTATTTTAGTTTTAAATATAAAATCCCAATCCACTTTGTCTTTCATATTTATTATTTTTTTCAGGTAGTTCTTATAATAATAGTAGTTTTAGACAATACACTTAATTAGCAGGGATATTTTAGAAAATACTACCTCCGATCCTAATTATAAGAGTTATTTGACTAATTTGAGGAAATTAAGGAAAGAAGTTAAGTTAGTTATTTGTAACAAATAAATGTTGTCTTTCCTAAAATATTTTTACTAATCAAATATATTAGCTAGAACTATCATTGTTAAATAAATTACTTTGGGAAAAAATGTATAAATATGAAAGACGAAGTGGATTAAGATCTTATATTTAGAACCAAAATAGAAGTCAAACAAGGTCTTATATTAAGGACCGGATATAATATTAAAAACTAGAGGTTATTATTACAAGGTATTTGAATCTGAGTTCAAAATTTGGTTACACAAATGAAATAGCGTTTAAACATGGAACATTTTGTAAGTAAAAACCATGATTTTTCAAAATGCTTCCAACGTGCGTGAACGCGCAAAGACGTACGGACTAGGATTCTAAGGTGATGAAATGACGTGGACGAGTGGATTCTGACGGCAATTTATAAAGCGTCCTTTTAGACCATTGGATTCTGACATCCACGGACCCCTTTTTAGTTCCTTCTTGGGTTGGGTTGGCTCATTTCTGGTCCTAAAAAGGCCCACAAGGAAGAAAAGATTAACTTTTGTCCCTTCTTAAAAATTATATGTTCATTTCCATGACCAAACATGAAGCAGAATGACAGGTCCAAAAATTGAATCGAGGGCAACAATCTTGGCTGCAAACTAAAAATTATATTTATTTATTTTTAATAAAAACTGGATACTATTACAACACTCTACAAAGTGCAAGAAACATCAAAGCTCAGCTTCCCTCATTGCCTTCCACCTCTTTAAAAAAAGGAGGAGGGAAATCAAGGATATAAAACAGAGCGTCTAAATTAGCTAAATAGTCAGTACTAGAATTTTGATCTCTATACACCTGATGTAACATAACTTGCCAATCCCTGTGAACTAAAAACCTAGCTTTGTCAACAATGTCTCGAAAGGGGTGGTTTAAATCACATCCCCTGACTACCAGATTGATAGCTTCCAAGCAGTCAGAGAATATGGTTATATCTAGACCCTTATTTCAGCAGACGTTAAGTCCATGAATAATACTAATTAACTCAACAATAGTAGGTGGTACCTTAGTAAGTTTGCAGCTGAAATCAGTTAACCCATTACCCGCCTCATCTATAATGGCACCACTACACCCACTTCGTCAATTTGTTGATATTTCTGAATTTACATTTAAAATTGCATGCTTAATTTGCAATTGACTATTGATATTTCTTAATTTGCATTTATCTGGCTTGATATTTGCAAATTGCAACTCAATTTTTGAATAATTTTTTCGAACCTACCTATCACTAATTCACTCTTTAAGGACTTGACTATCATTTTTGTTCATATAAAACCACATGAAAGTCGGGAAACAAAAAGAAATTAGAAAGTTGAACAATCAACCTGGTTTAATACCAAGTTACAGTCCACACTAGGGGTACTTTTTTTTTTTTTTCTATTTTACACAAAAACTTTAGATGGAAGTTTGTTTGAGCTCAACTCAAGCCAACGTCAGAACTCTTGCGATCTAGCTCCTCCTTGGTGATATTATAATGGGGAGAGGGAACCCAAGACTGATCCTCGCTTATTTACTCAGACACCCATAGATCTAATATGCCTTCCCAAATATCGCTATGGGAATCTTTCTTTTTTTTGTTTTTTTTTTATGAGAGGGTGCAGTTATTACCGTTAAATTTATCGGGGATGGGAACACAAGAAGTACTTCAACGAACATATAGATAACAAGTGGATGCGATATGAAGTGGGGCTTGGGCCCATTCCATTTAGCATAGACTAAGCCCGGCTCGACTTACAGAATTAATTGAAATATTACAAAAAAAAGAAGAGCCATTTCACTTTCTTGCTAAAGAAAACATGAAATTCATAGTGTAGGAAGGCAACACAAGATTAATTCAAACTATTTTGGTGTTTTACAAGATTTAAAATAATTAAATCTTGTAAAACACTCAAATATGTATGTCAATGATATTATTCATGTGATGCAATGTTAAAAATATAATGCATATCTCTACAATATAAATAAAATGAATTTGATAAAATTGAATGATGTAAACTTAAAAGCAACTCATAATAAGGATTTTTTTTCAGAGAAATTTCTCTTAGTTTCTTTCGAGAAAAATATTTTTCAGAAAAATTTCCAGAGGAATGGTCTCCCGGTTTTATTGGAGAGAAAGTTCTCTAAAAAATTTCTGAGGAAAGCATTTCGTTCGCTCAAAATTTTTCCAGAGGAACCATTCAGCCCGAAAATTTTGTGAGAATTTTTCCCCAATTATTGATCCGTAATTGATTGACTTAATTATATTGTGTATATAATTTTTGGTAATTAGCTGCAGCGCATGCAGTCCAATAGGGAAAAGGAAGCACTTATAATTATTGGTTGGCCCTTGAAGTTTACACGAAAAGAGTGGTTGGCATATGGTGACTGGTGAGACAAAAACCACACAATTTAAATAAGAGACTAATAACAACCAATGGGGCCTGACACAACCAGCTACAAATGGACACGTGTATCTATAAAAAATTAAACAATTATATATAATGACAGCAAATCCATGACCTAATAAATTAATTAACATGAGACTCTCTGGCTATTACGTCATGAGATTCATGAAGGAGGTCGTCACACACAACCAATCTTAGACCCCCAATATAATGAAAATATGTAACCCAATTTTTTATTAAATTTGACCAAATTCAATCATCTAATATGATTTTTTTTTGTGTCGTTACTACCTACCGTCTTGAATATAAGAACATTTTGAGAGATATGTGTTTTGGTTCAAATTATATGTCTTTAAAAAATTCATGTCCGGTGTATGTTATATATTCTTCCAATTATATTCTTTATTAATTAAACTAGGAGTAGTAATTAAGAACAATTAAATATAGGGTAGAAGTTTTATATATATAAGATCACTTTCATGTTTGGAGCTGTATTGAATTGGAATAAAATGAAAAATGAAAGCGATTAGTTTATTATGGGCGGAGTAAATTAGAGCTTAACTTAGACAAAGAACCTCACAAAGTTAGCATGTCTAATAATTTGTCCATTACAAAGTCAAAATTTTGGTTTAAAAGTGGCAACTTTATCCACGATAAAGTGCTTGCATAATAAGTATTAATTTGACATGAATGTTGGTTTATAAGTAGGAGATCAATTCCACTTGTATTTTAAAAATTTACACACTAATTCGCTCAAAAATAGAAATAAATTGTACAGATTTCCAGGAGTGTTTTTAAATTTAGAGTTCCCTTTACATTTTTTTGTGGGATACACTACTAGTAGGAGCAATCATCATCCTCGGGCAATTTTGATAGAATTTGTCGCAGTTTTTTCACCACATCATTCACCCTCATCCTGGATTCATCACCCACCTGCATCAATCACAGTAACCAAAGTCCAAGGCTTCAATTTTAAGTTCCCAAGCATAGGTAATCGTAAAAATATATATATATATGAAATATTATGAATAATTAAACTCATTACCCTTGCAACAATGGTAATGCCAAGAGAGGAATCTCCAAATGGTAAGATGCTACTACTGGAGACACAGAGATGAAAAGTCTCAAGCAAGCTCAATATTTTGAATTCAATGCCATTTTGTTTCTCGCAATGGATTCCCAGAAGCACTTGGTTATCTGAAACTCTTACTTCAATCATAGGCAGCACTTCATTGGTTTCGCAGAACTCATCATTCTCACAAACCTCAATTTTCTTTATGGATATCACTGACAACTCTTTCTCTAGTTCTCTTACTCGTTCCTGAAGTTGTTTCACGCATTTGATAGCTTCGTCCAGTATGGTGGCTTTGTCCAACTACAAACATCAAATTCACAGTAAAAGACATTGATTAACATAGTAAAACGTGTGTCAGGATGGAAAAAGTATAATTTTCATAAAAAATAGCATTCTTATTACCTTCTTCAACCCCGGAATTGTTGCAGAAAGTGCGATGAACTTATCAGTAATTCGTTGTCTCCTCCTCCTCTCTGCCATTATATGATCGAAGGTATCCGAACGCTTTCTTTTTACCTTTCTCGGATCAACGTTTCTGGTTATTTTTGACGAACGATGGTCATTAGATTCTTCTTGGTTTGAATTTATGGGTTTTATGTCAGAGTTGCCAAAGGACAGAATGTACGACCTAGGAGACATCATGCGGCTTTCATCTTTGGAACCATTGTTGCCGCCTGAACTGCCGCTATTTTCTGTTTCTGTTTGAGAAGACGGATAGTTACGAAGACCTGGTTGTTGCTGCATAATGTCTCTCAGAAACTCTTGGTCTTCCTCATCAAAGGACATCATCATATTATTGTATTGGTCGTGGAAATCTTCACCATCATCCATATCCTGCCATAATTTAGACACATTAATTAACTTCAAATCAAAAGAGATTATCTATGTATACGTCTTTGTGCCTAGAAACATATATATGCAAAGGTCTTACTAGCAGTTGAGGAAAACTAGTAAGCTGCCATGATTCCTCCATTAGAATTTTTCTCTCTGTGAGAGAGAGAGAGAGAGAGAGAGAGAGAGAGGATGTATTGAAGAGTGCTCTCGAGAGTGTGCGCGTAGTTTTGTTTTTTAGGTGCTTAATTGGCAATCTAGTTTTGTGTGTATATATAAGGGAATGTGAAGGAACGAGAACAAGGAATCTTGGCACGTTTGGCATGAAATTAAACCATGATTATTACTTGTCAACAACAATTGATAATAAAAAAATAAACAAAAAACCGATCAAGATCCCTTTTTTAGGTAAAAAGAGTGGGCCAAAAGGAACAAATGAAGAAATAAAAGGAGGTACCAAATCTAGAGCAAGGATTTAACCTTGAAAAAAAAAAAAAAAGAGGACGTTTGAGCCTCGTGTCCATTCTGGGATGTCTTTTCCCACTGATAAAGTAATGGATGATACGTGTCTCAATATGATTTCACAACTTATAGATTTAGATTCTGTAATCAATTCAATCTTTCATCTTTTTTATTTAATTACGCCGTTAAATTTCCAAGTGATGGGTGTAAAGAAATATCTGGAATTGTTCTCGTCTCCGGTCTCACAAAAACCATCTTCACACTCTTAAACGTTCTTGATCGCCGGGCCGACAAAAACTATGGACGGTTCTTCTTAATGCCATTTATATATGTTTCTGGAATAAATCAATTTTACTATGTCTATTCAATATACTACTTCGGTCATAACTATAAAAGCTAGTTGACTAATTTGAGAAAATTAAGAAAATAAGTTAAATTAGTTATTTGTAATAAATAGGTGTTGTTTTTTTCTCTAAAATATCCTTATTAATCAAGTGTATTGGTTAAAATTATCATTATTAGAATGACTAATTTAGGAAAGAATGCATAAGTATGAGAGACAAAGTGGATTAAGGTCTTATATTTAGGACTAAAATAAAAGTCAAACAAGGTCTTATATTAAGAACCGGAGGTAGTATAATATGGTCCTATCTTTTCACATTTAATTTTGCCTCATGCATGCCGACTTTATAAATTTGCAATTTTTTTTAATGTTGGGGTCTCATGCATAACTTCATGGGTTTTTTGTTTTGTTTTTTGTTTGTAAGCATATGTATCCCTTTATTGGGGAAAATCTTGTTTGAGGCACTTTCAATACTAAATATGGACACATATATTAGTTATCCTGGTCGTGAGGGTGACTCATATATGTTTACCAAAATATATAGCCCATATATAATTCTCATGGACCAAAAGAAATGATTCTCACGAAACAAAAGACTGGGTTTTGTCATGAGAAAACCATCACCAGTGAGAAACTGATCTAGTCTGTGAGAAGTCTGTGAGACATATATTCTCTCCATTTCCTCCCTTTTTTTAAATGAGAAATTTGTGGGAAAATCACCGTTTTTATCTTATATCATATGAAGCATCTTGCAATTCAATCTATCTGTTTATCATTAAAGCTTTGTACTTTGAGGCTTCTTTTTAACTGGATAGATATAGTTGACATCCTTTAATCACCAAAAAAAAAAAAGTAAAGGTAATTACTTTTCATTACATGTTGCCAGCTCAAAATTGTATGTAATTGAAATACGTTTATTTTTCCTGAAAAATGAAATTATGTGTCGTATCTTTAATAAAAGCTCGAGTGAATTATGCTATCATGAGTCTAAAAGCATTCTAACTAACCGCGTTGAAATATATAATAGATAAATATGATGTTACTTAGGATAGCGAACGTGTACAAAATACGAAATCATCAATCTTATTGATGTTTTAGTATTAAGTTTTCTACAATATTAATTAATTCTAGCTATTAATATACTATGATATTTCTGAATCGTTGAATGAAATATTACAATCTTAAATATTTCATATAATTATACTTATAAAAATGCATGAGTATTAAAACGGTGTGAAACAAAGTGACAGAGAGATTTTATAAGACCTGTAAATTGAATGTCAAATTAATTTTTATATTAAGAATCGGGGATAATAGATAGCTAGCGGCTATATATTTTTGGAATGTGAAGGAATGTTATAATTTGCATGTGTGAAATCTGATTAAATAATTATAAATTATAAATAATATGATAAATGGGAACAGATGAGCCCCACTTAGGAAAAAAGGGAGTGAGAAAAGAAAGAAGTAAAATAAAAGGAGGAAGAATGTGGAAGAAGCGAAATCTGTTAGCAAACAAACGACAAATTAAAGCAAAGAATGATGCGATGTGCCTGGCCGTCTGTAAGGGAATGCCTTTTCCCATTGAAAAAATCATGTTATCGCATATGGGTTGTGATACACGGCTTTGAGTTTTTGAGTTTTTGATTTTTTTCTTTATCCTTTTGCGTGCATTTTGAATTCCCTCATACTAATTTGACGATTTTCGTTCATAAATTAATTAATTTTATCATGCGCACCTCATGCTTAATTATCATGTTTTAACACCCCGTGTCAAACGTCAGCTAGACGTTGACACGGCTTAACCCGAACTTGCCACCACATGGCAAGACGGTAATCCAATGACCATCCTTGATTCCTTTCTTCAATGTTTAAGATAAAGGAATATTCAGCATCTAGTATTTTTTATATATATTTAGTATTCTAAAATTTTTATAAAATATCTAACACCTCAAACTATTTTTTTTTATATACCAAACTATTTATATATATATTTAACACCTTAAAATATTTTTTAGTACACTTTTATACTTAACAATTTGAGGTGTCGGATATACTAAAAACTAATTTAAAGTAGATGCACCTGAAAAAAAATATTTTTAGAGTGGTAGATGCATCAAAATATGATTTAGAATATTGGACACACTTGAAAAAATACTTTAAAATGCTAAATATATCACAAAATATTTTTGAATATTGAATATATCCGAAAATATGTTTTAAGTACTATATGCTTGCTAACCCATCTTTATGAATGGGTAAAAGTATATCTAACATCGTAATCTTATTTTTTAGGTACATTCAGGAACTCGATCTTCGATCTTTTATATAATGCATCCGGCATCTTAATTTTATTTTTTTGGTATATATGGTATCTCGATGTTATTTTTCTAGTTATATCCAATACCTTAATCTTTATGATGTTAGATACATTAAAAATAAAATCAGGTCACTGAATACACAAAAAATAAAATAAGAGCATTGAATGCACCATATCAAAGATCACAGTATTGCTGGATATGCTTGAAATATAAAATGAGCGTGCAGATGCATGCACTTTTTATATTTATAAGATATTTTTACAAAATCTATGGACTGATTAATATTTTTTCCAAAAATATCATCGAAAAGAGTGCTTTAAATTAGTGCTTTAAAGTGATAATAAGACAAAGAAGAGTACTTAACACAGAATATTCATGGAAAGGATGAGGTAATTAGTCATTACCTAATTTTTTTTTGGCTTGTGTAAACTAGGTAACTTTGTTTTAGACCAAGGAATGGATGCAGCTCAGAGAAAATAGTCTAAGATATACTTGGTTTATCTCATCCACCAGTTAATGAATTTATGCATTTATGTATGACAGGATTTAGGTAAAAATCTTTAGTTATTTGCGAAAAGTTATTATGGTAAGCATAATTACCTTTAATCTCCAGCTTTCCAGCTCAGCACTATATATGGAACTCTTTTATTAAAAAAAAAAGATTATATGTCATATCTTTACTAAATGGATGCTTATAAATCAAATCATGTTATGATTAGATTAAATTAGGAGCAATCGACCAAACTGAAGTAGGGATTCTGAGAGTGAATATGGGATAAAACTTTCGTTACATTATCTTAACAAGCAACACTATACGATAATATTTAGAAAAATAAAAATTAAAAGGAAAATGTAAATTAAAACAGAAATATAAAAATATGCAGAGACGAAGTAGCATAAATTGCATTGGACTTAATAATCATATCAATATATGCGATTATTCGATATTCCCCTTGATTTCTATTCACTTATTCTGAAGGCGATAGCATAATAATCTTTCGTTAAAAGTATCACCGTGTAAATAAATAGATAGAAAGATAGAGAGACTGATAAATAGAAGAGCAGAGAAACAATAATACAGTGGGTTCAATCAACAAGTCACATGAAAGTGTGGCCCAACAAAACAGACAACAACAATAATCACATGGGAATTTATACTAATTAATCCAAAGGGTTGATAGGATCCAGCTGTGTCAAAGGGCAGACAAATAGTGCTACTGTTTTGGATTAGCACGAAACGTGGAAGTGAGACCCACCTGAAATTAATAGACATCATCCCCCAGCGATGTACTCGAATTGATCCCCAGCCTTTTAATTTTAAATTAAAGCTTATCTACATGCTCCCCTCCTTTATTATAAAATCCAAATTAATACAATTAAAAATTAATAAATATTTAGAAAATGTACTTTTTTAAAAAATACCTTTATTTATAAATGAGTAGGTGAGAGTGAAAGAAAAAAATTAACAAGATGAAAGAAAATGTATGAGGAGAAAAAAAATAATGCGAGAGAATATATTAATTAAGAGTAAAATAGGTAAAAAATGCATTTAATGTTTAAACAAACTCAAATGGAATCTTATGAAAGGAATAGATGAATTTAAAAATTTGAATCTTATAATAAGAGAAGGTGGGAGGATTTTATGTTGTCCCCATTAAGCTTTAATACATCTTCATCATTTGAGGATATATGTATATTATGTATATTATATATATATATATATGTTGAGCTGTGTTTTTGCATTAATATATAGGGACGGGTACGATTATGAAGGAAAATAACATACATCATTGACGGCAGAAAAATAATATACATCATTATGCAGGTTTATTACTAAAGATGTTAGGAGAGGGAGAGGGGGAGACGTGAGCACT